CATCTCTGATCAATTAAAGGAATATCTTCTTAGATTCAACATTTCTATCTATCATTACTATCACTATAATATAATACGCAGATTACAAAATCCATGAAGATGATTGCTTCAACAAAAATGTCTCGGTACGCTTTGCTTTGCTTAATATATACACATTTAATACGTGCATGTTCAAAAAATGAAATTAGTTGAGATTTTATATCATATTTTCTCATTTGAAATCAATGAATATAATTTTCTAAATAAAATAAATTTAGTGCACAAAAAGCGATGGAGACAGCGAGAAGCTTTGGTAGCACTCAATCAGGTACGAAAATAAAATTTTATATCAAATAAGAACAGAGAATAGAATGGTTTTAATTTAATTCAAAAATTATATAGAACTTTTTGAACACGCCGACACAAAACCTGTGGATGAAGGACAAACTCTTATTATCACTGTTTCCTCGGATCGTGGTCTATGTGGCGGTATTCACAGCAGTGTCGCCAAAGCATCGCGTAAATATATCGAAGAGAAACCGGATAGTGGAGTAATCGTACTCGGCGATAAAGCTAAAGGCCAAATATCGCGTACTCATCGTGAAAATATAAAGTTATCATTCAATCAAATTGGGAAAGGTATACCGACCTATGCGGAAGCATCAGCCATTGCCGATACAATTATCAAAGAGAAAGTTCAATTCGATCAAGCGACTATCATTTACAACTATTTCAAGTCGGTGATCGCGTATGAGGCGCGGACGATTCCGGCTTTCTCAGAAGAGGTTTTTGTAAAGTCTGGTTTGTAAAATATCATATCTAATATAATTTTTCGTCTTATATTATTCATTAAATCGATGTTGATAATTATTTGATTTAGGCAATTTTGCTGCGTACGAAATTCAAGATGATGTTTTAGTAAATCTTCAAGAATTTGCATTCGCAAATTCTCTTTATTGGGGATTAGTCGAAGGTCACGCAGCAGAAATGGCATCGAAACGTAGTGCAATGGAGAATGCGACAAAAAATGCTGGCGAAATGATTGATAAACTCACGCTTACTTATAATCGTGGACGACAAGCAGCAATTACTAATGAACTGGGTA